ACCGGAATATAAAATCACTAAACTCCACAATTTAATAGCAAATATTAGATAATACAAAAATTAAGTGCTGATTTGATGGTCGTCTGATGGTTAAATCCATTGTCAAATGGTAACATCTTAATTCTATCAAATTATTGAACTATTACTTAAATTAAGTAATGAATTTGAATATAGCATAAAATATAATTTTGTGTTCTTAATTATAAATAAAGTCATTAAAACTGGTTGAGAAGAAAAAGCTAAAGGAACTAAAGCAATTTTGTCTTTAAGAACTTAGAATTGAGAAACCTGAAACATATTGAATACCAGTGTTATGGAAGATGAATAACTGCTCTTTTTTCCCCATTGGCTAGGAGAAATGGATTTAAAATGAAACAGGAGGGAAATGGAATAGATATGAAGAAAACTTTTCTGACACGGAAGACTTCAAGTCAGATAATGGAGGAATAGAGTAAGTCAGACATGAACTATGAGGTGGTTTAAGGTTAAGTAATGGGTATGTGCACTGAAATGACCTGTGATTTCCTCTTTCCTTATATGTTAATCTGGAAACTTGTAGAAAAAGCATTCTTCTGAAAACTTCTGTGTAACTACCTCAATGATTTGTCAGATTTATGTAATCAAGGGATATATATAGTAGGGGATCATGCAAGGTAGTTTTGGGTAAAGTTTGCATAGTTCACAATCTAAAGGTTAGAACATAATTTAGCTGCTGAAGAATAAACTACTAGTAAACAGAATGAATGTTTACAAACATCTCAGTCTGAAAATGTCTCCTAGAGTGTATGTGGGAAAGTTAACACAATTTCTCAAACGACTTGTCTAGATAATCGATAAACATGTGTACAAATTCTAACTTTAAAGAGTTAGCTGAGAGATAAAGTAATAAATACAGCAATCTGTGAATAGTTTAATAAACTACATATAACTGGTAGTAAGTTCAACATTAATTTTAAAATGCCGTATAGAAATATAATGTAATCTCAAATCTAGGGGTTAATAGCCTCTGATAAAATATTTATGTCCATAAATATGAAAAAAGAAACAAAAATTTATTGAATATTTTTTCATTTTAAAGAACTTTGAAGAGAAATTTATAGACACTGGAAATTTCAGTATAATAGCTGCAGCCTACCAGGTATTCCATTTGGCCACAGAAGCCAAATTTGAAAATATTTCAAATAATTAAATTTTCACTAGATTTCTTCACTAAATTTTGTGATAATTACCACTCAAATACATACTTGTTTTTTTCCTTTCTATTTACTTTCATATTTGCACCCAAATATATATTTTCTGAAACAAGTGCACACAGGTAAGGAAGTCACACTAAACTGTTTTATAAAAGGGACGTTACCCTTCCATCCTTCCTACATACTTACTCAATTAGTTCTCTGGATTAGCAAATTTTCTAAAGTCACTAAAAGCAGAAATCTTGAAGATGGAGTCAAAGGATTGATAAGACTGAAATTCTGTTAGATTAATTCTTCCATGGAATTAATTAGGATTCCATTCCTAAATATGGAATCAATTTAGGAAAATTTCTATTCCCAAAAGCTACCTTCACTTTTTCCTTAAAATTTACCTTTAGTTCTACAATATGAGAATGTTAGGAATGATGTAAAATGATTTTAAGATTCATGATACAGATGTAGGATTGAATTTTGTCTTGAATTAGTAATTATTTCTCAAGCAACAATCAGTATAGACATACCTACACATCTTATGTTTGCCTAACTTCTTAATTCATTAAGGTATCCGATTTATATAATGACTGAATTTTTTACAAAACATCAGCACATTACACATCCTGTCATACAGCATGTAGGCAGTGTGGTGTGGATGAAAGAGATGTGGAGAGAGGCAAACCCAGGCTAAAATCCCAACTTTTGTCTATTACTAGATGTGAACCTTGGGAAAATTATTATATTTAGTTTGTCTTAGCTTCAGTTTTCTCATCTGTAAAATGGAAATAGTAAATATGGTTGCTCTGAGGATTAAAATAGTCTATATATATCCCAGCATTCAGTACGTGCCTTTCCAAAACTTCTTATAATGACAATAGTGTTTTATTTCCAATTACAGCATAGATTTAAAAACCTTTTAAAAATTAAATCATTTTTGTCTAAACAAAACTCAGATCAAGTTTTTTCAATGACCTAATTCTGATATATAATTAGGATTTTATTAAGGGAACTAATATTAGACTTTGATTACCTACTATGATACTTTTAAGGTTATATCACTATCTGATGGAATGTATTTTAATATTTTTTAATCGAATAGCCTTTTACTAAAAAGAAATCAAACAGTTTGCTACTGTCAAATTTGTGTTAACATTTAAATATCAGCTATAAGAAACAATAGCAGATGAGTAAAGTAATTAACTCATTTAAAGTGATTTCTCTTGCTTATATATTACAATCAGATTCTAAAAGTCTGATGTGCAATTTAATTTCAACTTTATTAAACTGATCTATTAAAACAATTTTTATCTTTCTTACTTTTGCAAACAAGAGTCTACTAAGCAAAGCCAGGGAAAGGAAATTATTTGTCTTAAACATGCTTGAATGAAATAGGAAACTATACAGAGTTCTTCTAATCTGGAACATTAATATTTTCGAGGAGTTTATTATTAAACATCAAAAAATGTTGGAAAACTTGAAATCAACTGGCCCAAATACAAAGTACAGCAGAACATAAGATAACTCTCTTCTTCTGGCAGGAAAAGATCAGTTAGAATTCAAATAATCATTTATCCTTAATGCCTCAAATTGGAGAAGGAATATAATTTATTTTGACTCAAAGTTGTCCTAAAGGCCAGGCATGGTGACTCATGCCTGTAATCCTCACTTTGGGAGGCTGAGGCAGGAGGATCCCTTGAGCTCAGGAGTTTTAGACCAACTTGAGTAAGAGTGAGAGCCTGCCTCTACTAAAAACAGAAAAAAATAGCTGGGCATCATGGCCGGTGCCCGTAGTCCCAGCTACTCAGGTGGCTGAGGCAGGATTGCTTGAACCCAGGAGTCTGAGGTTACTGTGAGCTAGGCTGATGTCACAGCATTCTTGCCTAGGCAACAGGGTGAGATGCAGTCTCAAAAAAAAAAAAAAAATGTCCTACAAATGTTTGAAAAGAATATCCTGAAATACATCTGAAAGATATTTAAGGCAAGACAACTAAGTGAAAATGTACTGGGAATGATAGAAACAATTTTTTGGTAGATAGAAATAACTACAGGCCAGGTGCAGTGGCTAACACCTGTAATCCCAGCACTTTGGAGGCCAAGGTGGAAGGATCATTTAAACCCAGGAGCTGGAGGCTGCAGTGAGTTATGATCATGCCACTATTTCTAGCCTGGGCAACAAAGCAAGATCTCAAAAAACAAACACACAAAAACTGTGAAAAAAATTAAATGCTAGAAAACTGAAAATTCTGTTATGGGTTTGAATTAAGAGAAGGACCAATAAAAAATAAAAGGCAGAAATCCTGGAAACTTGTAAGATAATCACAACTATGTTTAGCAATCCAGCTGAATAAATGATATGCGCATTAACATGTAACTCATATAAGATCACAGCACATGGCAAACAAGATAAGGCTTATATATAAGTAAGTCACATGTATTTTGGATAGTAAATTGGGAAATTTAGGCTGACTATAGGTAGAAGAATATATGAGTGAGAATATATTGTTCAGGAGCTAAACACCTAAATCAGGAATTCTGGGATTTGTATTTTCCCCTTAACTTTTTAATCCCCAGAAATATCTTAGAACTTAATTAGATAATGTCTATTAATTTAAGCACTCTCAACATCTGAAAAAAATTAATGCAAGTGAGATCATAATTGTTTGCAAACTAACAGAAAATAATTTATGTTTAGGGAAAAAAATCCCATATTTGACAGAAATTGCTTAATTTTTTAAAATTCTAAAAAATAATCTTTAGATTATTAGTAGTGAAAAAAGCAAAGGAAGCTTTAAAAATATGATTTCAAGACATGTAACCACTAAAAGGTATACTCTAATATAATGAAAATAATAAATGCTGCTCACATATCAAAGATCATGTGAAAAAGTGGCAAAAGGAAAAATTATGAAAATAGGATTAGCAAAGAAACAATTTTGAAAAGAGAGAGATTAAATTTGAGTCTGCTCAAAAAAGGTAGGTTTGGCAGCAATCCCTCCTTCCATAGTGATTTGGCATGCCAGTTGAATTTTTCCACACAGTGTTTTAGGTCATAGGAAGAGGAATCATTGTCAGATAAAGTTGCCAGGCTTGGCTTGGGAAAGGTAAAAAGATACTACAGGTTTAAAACTATGAATTACTTTTGAAGTTACAATAAATAACTTCAATAAATAATAAATTTGAGTTAAAGATAGCCTATTCAGAGACCAAAGGCTATAATACTATATTGTCTTAACCATCTACCTACTTGGAAATCCCATGTAGATATAGCTCTGTAAGTTTTCTGACACAAGTGTATTTCTTAAATAAATGGATATGGAAATAAAATAAAATGGGAAAAATCTATATTTGATTCCTATATTTTGTTCTATTCTCTCTTATGAACTTCCAAAACTAGAACCAATTATGTTTATTAAAATGCCTGGAAGGAAATGTTTAGGATTTGGAAGGTTAAAAGAAATGGCATTTCAAATTAGGTTTTGGTAGTTCTTTCTTTAGAGCCCTTTGTTTCTGCATTCTCCATAAGAAGAGAGAAAGTAAGAAATCAGGTAGCTGTTTTCTCCTGTGCAAAATTCACTGTCATAGAACTGACCTACAAAAAGTATGGGAGATAGGGGAGAAAAATATTGATATGGAAGAATGTGTGCCCTGTTAGGAAGAGAGCTTTTACAAGAAAGCTTATTTGTGGCCTATAGACTATTGCACATTCAAACAAAACACAACAGACAAGAATGTCCACCAGATAATATGCTTAGGAACATATCAACATATAAACTAACTTGTGCCCAGAAATAAAACATGGATACCAGACACCACTGCAGTCAAACCTGTCGTAATTTGCTTCTGTTTTAATGACCTTTAGAAACTGGTCCAAACTGATTATCAGCAATACATTGTTTTTGCGTTTTTTTCTTAAAAAAATATTTTGAGACCACTTTTTTGATACACACACATATAATTCTGTGGTCATAACAGACAAATATAACTTTAGCAAGACTAAACAAAAGTGCAAAACTTAAAAAACAAAATTAAAAAATATGGAAGCATAAGCTAAATTTTTCTGCATAGCTGAAATCTATTTAAAGCAAGTCCTTGTTACAGGGGTGGGAGGGGGTGCTGACAAGAGGATAAAGCAGTTTTTTTAAATGTCTTCTGCATGTTTAAATGATGCAAAAAAATAATTTCACTCCATAGGCTTCACAGACAGTTCATTCCCATATCTTTAGACACCATGGTTGTGGCAGTGCCTCCTTCTGCAAGGTAAACAGCAGTGCTGGATTTGGAATGAACTGCCCTGTCACTGCCATTGTTGTTGACCTCACAGTCCAGTGGTTCAGTGGAGATGACCCAGGTAGAGGGGCGCCACCGCTTAAGAGAGTAGGGAGTTTTCACACGTTTCTTGATCTTTTCACCTGATCCTGATTTGCCATCTTGTATTGACTCGCCTACTGAAAATAAAAGTACAGAAAAATGAACCATATGAAGAAACTATTAAAAAGTGAAGTATTAGGGTTGTAACTCAAGAGAAAGTTAAACTAATATATATGGAGGGCACTAATAGACATTTCTTGATTCATGATGCCAAGCAATCTTTTTCTAGGCAAAGCTTAACCAACTTACTTTTGAGGCTCTTTTAAGTTAAATGTTTTAAAAATTGACTGAATTATTCTCCATGACAAGGAAAAAATATAGATAAAAACCACAAAAAATAAAAACAGGAGAAAATTCAAAGTTCTCAGACATTCTCTCCAATATTTTGGTTTTGATAGAGATGCTAATTTAGTAAAAAGCGCTTAATCGTTCTAATTAGTGCTCAAATGGATCAAATTTTGACAGTACCTGGAATACAGTATTTTTCTGAAGAATGACAGAAATACCAGAACATACATTTTCTATTAATTCCCTCTTCCAAAACCTGATACAGAGCCTTACAAGACAGAGCCCTTTCAACTGGTTTATGATATAAGCCATTCAAGCAATGGGCTAGATTTTACTGATTGTTTTCTGAGACCTGTATTCTCCTTCAGTCAGCCCATTTTGTAGTCCTTGACAATCACAAAACATAACTTTTCCCCCCAAATGCTTTAATATAAAAGAGAAATCATATTGAACAATAACTGTTACAGATTTTGGTGAGTTCTCCTTGTTTTGCGTTGGAATTCCTTTAGGGCAAGAAACCAAATATCAATTCAAGTTATTTGTTTAAGATGCTATGGGGCTCATAGTATAATACTATAGGTATCCTGAGAGACTCATGCAACCCATAACTCTTTTTTGTTTGTTTTTTAGAAACAAGGTCTATCTCTGTTGCCCAGGCTAGAGTACAGTGGCATAATCATAGCTCACTACAGTCTCAAACTCCTGGGATTAAGTGTTCCTCCTGTCTCAGCCTCTCAAATAGCTGGGACTACAGGCATAAACCTATGCCTATGAAAATTTGACCATACCTGGCTCATTTAAAAAAATTTTCTGTAGGCTCAGAGCTGTATCCAGCCTGGGCCCGCCAAACAACAATGATGGCTGCAACTAAAAAAATAGCCGGGGGTTGTGGTGGGCGCCTGTGGTCCCAGCTACTTGAGAAGCTGAGGCAGGAGACTCACTTGAGCCCAGGAGTTGGAGGTTGCTGTGAGCTGTGATGCCACCGCACTCCACCGAGGGGGACAGCTTGAGGCTCTGTCTCAAAAAAAAATTTTTTTTCTGTAGAAGCTTGGCACCTGTAGCTCAGTGAGTAGGGCGCTGGCCACATACACTGAAGCTGGTGGATTTGAGCCTGGCCTGGGCCTGCTAAACAACAATGACAACTGCAACCAAAAAATAGCCAGGTTTTGTAGCAGGCGCTTGTAGTCCTATCTCCTTGGTTGGCTCAGGCAAAAGAATCACGTAAGCCCAAGAGTTGGAGGTTGCTGTGAACTGTGACACCATAGCACTCTACTGAGGGTGACATAGTAAGACCCTGTCTCAAAAACAAACAAAAAAAATATTTTTGTAGGGACATGAGTCTTGCTATCCTGTTCAGAATGGTCTCAAATTGCTAGCTTCTAGTGACTCTCCTGCCTCGACCTCTTAAAGTCCTGGGATTGTAGGCATCAGCCACTGCACCTAGCCTTTGACACATAGCTCTTGAAAAAGATATGAGAGAATGAGAACAACTTCAAAGTTTCTTTCTTTCTTTTTTTTTTTGAAACAGAGTCTCAAGCTGTTGCCCTGGGTAGAGTACTGTGGCATCATAGCTCACAGCAACCTCCAACTCCTGGGCTCAAGCGATTCTCCTGCCTCCACCTCCCAAGTAGCTGGGACTACAGGCACCCGTCACAATGCTCGGCTAGTTTTTGGTTGCAGCTGTCATTGTTGTTTGGCGGGCCCCAGCTGGATACAGCTCCGGTGTATGTGCCTAGAGCCTTAGCTGCTTGAGCCACAGGTGCCAAGCCAACTTCAAAGCTTCTTTACAGTAACTTTTCTGAAATTTCTGTGGATTTTTATTAAGGTTAATCTGATAAAATCTAAATATACATACAGTAAATATTAACATGGACAATGAACTGTTTAAAGAGTCATACTGACAAAATTACTTAGAGTTCTTAAATTGGTGATATTTACTTAATCTCAATTGTTTATAGCAAATATGTGAGTTGCATTAGAAAGCAGCAGCCATATAAATCACATATTAAATTGGTAATTATTCTAACTATTGTGATGCTATTATCAATGACAAAAATCATTATTTTTTTCTTTATAATAGTCTAGTTTTGAGGCCCAATTAAATGGCTTATATTTTTTCCAGATATGTAAAGGTAAGTAATCACTAGTTGAAAGGTAATCTGTTCTAAGTACTTATTTAAATAGTCCCAAAAGACACATAGGAGAAATTACATGATCTCTACACTTACTCTGCATACTGCTGCCATCCAGGACATTTGTGGCTGACAGATCCAGAGAATTAGGCCTCTGTGCTCTTCTGGGCTTTGATGGCCCAGGATCTGCTACTGTGCTTGGAATACCCTGTGTAAGAACATCTTGTTCTGAACATGGATTGCTGTTGTTGTTATTGGAATTAGTTCGGCCACCTTCTAGTGGCCGTTCCCTCCTGTCCACAAGACGATCTAGAACACCTTCATCATGGCCAGCCTGCTGCTCTCGTCTCAGTAAAGGTTCATGCTCATCAGGACTAGAATTAATATTCAGCCGGGTGTCCTCACCAATAAATTGATTCTGTAGCATTTCTTGGGTCCTATGTGCCACTATGTTGGTTGTCTGGCCAGATGGTACTGTCCCATTGGCATATTGGGCTGTGGCAGCATGAGAGTTAACACTGTGATTTCTACCTGCCACACCATTCATGGTGACTGTCACCACATGAGGTTCTGCTGCATTGATTGTATTCATTTTGGCAACTCCAGTTTCTACTTGTTTCAAGTTTGATTTGTGCTTGCTGCCAAATTTTAGCCGGGGCTCCTTTGTTGAATTTTTGGTGTTCAAAGGCAAACTAGTAGGTCTCTTAGGAAGGTTCTGTTGCTTGGGGAGAGGATAGATCTGAGTAGGCAGAACATCAGGAATTAAACATGCTTGGCCATTTGCAGCCTGTGTGAAGTCCTGCTGTCCAGTCACTTCTACTGCAAGCTTTATGAGTGGGTAAAGTAAGCTAGAACTGGTACTGCTCAGTGGGTCTGGCCCACTAAACTGTTTAAGAGAATGCTCCATGAGATTCTCATCTGAGCTCTCCTTGAGGTTCTTATCAACTTCTTTTGGGTCTAACTTGTTAGTCTCTAAGTCTTCTTCTGTCAGCTGTAAGCAGACAGGGGTTGGCCCAATTGACTGTGCAACATTTGTGGCATGCAGATTTGTTTCATCTGGGTATGGCATCTCAGATATAGTGGTCATGCCAGTACTTGGAGTGAGGCCAGTGGTGTTTGTGGTTGTTGTGTTGGTGGACAGGCTGGTGACACTCGTTTCAGGGCTAGGGATTCGAGCTTGTGCTTGCTGACGTTCATAATTAATTGAGTTTCGGTTCTTTTCCCCTATTGTCAAAGGTGTGCTAGACATTGAATGCTCAGAGGAAATATTCTTCACAATGCTGTCAGTGTGATGAATAGAGTCTTCGATATATGAGGAGGAAGAATAATCTGGATAAGGACCAATTTTTGGCACACGCCTATTATGTGAAAGGTTGCTTAAAGAAAAAAAAAAGTGTCACATTGAGAATGCACATTTATGACAAACAGTCTCTTCAAGTTAACACTTCTGATTTTAAGTCTAAGTTGCTTTTCATTTTATTCCTAACCCATAATACTTTAGAAGTTACTTAAAAAGCCTAATCGAATAATCAAGTGTCAATTAATAACCTGATAAATGTTAGTTTTATATGAATTAAGCCTACTGAAAATTCTATGTGGATCTAGATAAGATCTTAATAAATGTGCATTATTTTCATTTACAAGAGTTAATTTAAAAATCTCCCCTACAGTTTTATAACATCAAATTTATCTGTATCAAATGTCTACTCATACAAGCAGTTATTACATTAAGTGAGAGGAAGAACCATGACATGTTTCTTTTGTACTGCATAACTGTAAATACATAGTTCCTACTCAACAAATACATTATCAATTAAGTTGCAATGGCCAGATGGTAAAAAGAATATATGTTATGTTGTTCCAAATTAGCTCCAGTAAGAGGCACAGTCTAGCAATGAAACCTATTTTTCTGGAGTAGGCTGAGCCATATCAGTGAAAATCCTTTAGCCCGTGGTATAAGAAAGAATGTAATATTCAGATAAAGGATCAAAGATTCAGAACTGCTCTCCAGTTACCATGGGTTCTTCAGTTATTGTCACCTCTTGGGAGAAATGGTTCTTGACTATCACCTCATAATATATTTATATTATTTTAAATCTGACTAAATAAAAACCAGTAATAGCTTATACAAAATAACAAATCAAGATATAAACACTGGGAACATTAATAGATACATGAGTTACAGGAGAGAAGCAGCAGCCAAAGGAAGAGGTTGCCTTTTATAATGAAGACAGATGAGGTAATGCCAGGAGGGGAAGAATTAAAACTATTAAACAGGGCCAGGTGTGGTAGTTCACTATAATTCTGGCACTCTGGGAGGCCGAGGCTGGTGGATTGCTTGACCTCATGAGTTCAAGTTAGAAACCAGCCTGAGCAAGAGAGAGACCCTGTCTCTTAAAAAAAAAAAAAAGCTGGGCATTTGTGGTGGGTGCCTGTAGTCCCAGCTACCTGGAGGCCAAGGCAAGAGGATCTCTTGAGCACAAGAGTTTGAAGTTCCTGTGAGCTATGATGTCACAGCTCTCTACTGGGGGCAAGAATGTGAGGCTCTGTCTCAAAAAAGAAAATAAAACAACTGTTAAATAGCACATGAAAAGAAAGCTAAGGAGGCATAGAGGGTAAGAGCAAAAAAAAAAATGAAACTTAGAGTGAGAATGACTGTAGGATGAACCATACTTAAGGGCAAAATTTAGTATAGATTTTTTTTTTTTTTTTTTTTTTTTT